ACCTTATACGACAAGCAGGAGTATGTCATTCACTATCGTAATCTGAAACAGGCGCTACAACTGGGAGCTAAGTTAAGAAAGGTACATCGAGCCATCTCGTTCAGCCAGTCGCCTTGGTTAAAAGCCTATATCGACCTAAACATTGCACTACGTCAGGCTGCCAAAAATGAGTTTGAAAAGAACTTGTTTAAATTGATGATCAATGCTGTGTTTGGAAAAACAATGGAAAACATACGGAACCATTCCAACGTTAACCTTGTGAAAAACTGGAAAGGTCGCTACGGTGCGGAAGCTCTGATTGCCCGACCCGAATTTAAAAGTGCAACTATAATTAGTAAAAATCTCGTTCTTATTGAATTAAAAAAATCTGAAATATATTTTAACAAACCTATCTACGTTGGGATGTCAATTATGGAGATAGCCAAGACAACAATTTATGACTTTCACTACAACTGCATTCAAGAAAGATTTTCCAATTCCCGAGTTTTATATACCGACACGGATTCTCTTGTATACGAGATATTATCCATAGACCCGTACGAGATTTTAAAAAAGGATTGTTTTCGGTATTTTGATACATCGGACTATGCGGAGGATAATCCGTACGGTATACCCACAGTCAATAAAAAGGTTCTGGGTATGATGAAGGATGAGAATAATGGGCGAATTATGTCTCATTTTATCGGACTTAGAGCTAAAATGTACGCCACAAAGCTATATAAGACACCGGAAGAAGAGGAGTCCGCAAAACAAGAATTGATGGCTGCAGAAACAGATCGAGAAGCATTTGAACGTGAATTTAAAAACTTCGGTGTAACGAAGAGGATCAAAGGAGTTAAAAAATCCTTCATCAAAACTAAGATAACTTTTCAAGATTTCGTCGATTGTTTGCAAAATTTCGCTGAAAAAAAGATATCGCAGAATTTAATAAGAGCGAGCAAACTGGAGTTGCACACAGTATCCCAAAGGAAGATCGGGTTAAGTCCTTGCGATGATAAACGTCGCATATCAAAGTCGTCTGTAGAAACGTTACCGTGGGGTCACTATTCGATTATGGAAGAAGAAACTGTCTCCGCTTGATTATAAATGTGTTTTATCGGTTTTTGCTTTGAAATTTCGTTTTTTTTTCCTAAAAAAATCGAATGAGGTGCGCTTAAGGGCTCAGTTCACGTCTGGCAGCCTCGTTAAATTTTTATTTTAAAATTGCATGAAATATTTTGATCTTTTTCATTATATTTTGGGCATATTTAGAATAAAAATGACCGGAAGTCCTTAATATTTTTTTCGCTTATTACCTCCAACTACTTTTATTATATTTTCCACTGTCAATAAACAGTTTGACTCCTGTAAATTTGTTTTTTTTTTTTAATTTTGCAACTAACCAGTACCTATAGTATGTGTCTACCGTTAACAGCAAACAGACGATCGATTTGCAAATGCCTATTTTGAAAAAATTGTTTATCAATCTAGAAGACATGTATTTAAAGATTAAATGTGCTATTTTCAATATATTTAACTTTATCTCGAACCAATTTTGCGATGTCAATGCCTCGCAACCGTAGATAAGAGACTACGGTGCGGTGATATCCTAGTGGGGGGGGGGGGGGGGTGGATCACCTTTGCTTTTAAGGCGCAAAAATATATTTTGCGTGTGGGATGAATAATTTTTGTTGTGTATTTTTTTTTTACCTAATTATGTCATGTGTTTTCATGAAATTCGACATATCTGCGAGATCTGTTTTTACTCTATCCTGTGTACGGCTAAGATTGGACGGGTCCGGGGTTCGATCCTCGGTAGCGAAAAAAAAAAAAAAGAGTCATCATTCTCAATACCTAACACACAATTACCCAATAATTTTAATATGCCCGTTAGACGATTGTGGGAGGGGTTGAGAGGGTTGCGGGAGGGGTGGGGGTTGAGGGAGACGATAGGTTGGTTGGTGCTAAGAGGGTATGGATCGAATGACCTTGGAGCGGACCAATTTTCGCTAATATGGAACCTTAAATTTTCTAATGGGAATTTACATGTAAAAAATGAGAAAATTTATTCTTGAACTGTCACTATATATCTACTATTAAGGACGTTGAAACACTCATGCATGTGTTGCCAATATAAGACAGAATGTAGGAAACTAGAACACACGGTAGAGCCCCTTATTATTTCTCTGAACTCCAACGACTATAGTTCATTTGACTACTCGGAATGTAACTACTAAAATTTACATATTGAGTTGTATTGTAAATAGATTTTTATATATCTATTTTAAGAAAGAATTAATTACATGCAAGAATTTTAATTATCGAATAAGGTTTGATGTCCGGTTTCATGATTGTATTCAGCAACTACTAATGAGTTTATTTGTCGTAGTCTTACGATTTTTTGATGTTCATTTAGCCTAGGTGATATTTTTCTTCCTCTTTATCCAAAGTATCCTTTACTGCATATGCATGGAATGCTGCTACTCCTGTTATCTTAAACGGAATTTTGTCTTTGACGGATCTAAGATGTTGAGAGATAATTGGATAAGTGGTAAATCTGGTTTCATCATATTTCTTAAGAACTTTTGATATGTCGTCAGTGATGTTTTGAATGTAAGAAAGGACCGCAGTAACAGTGTGGGGTTGCGTCAGTACTCATTTTCTTTGGAAATCTGTGGTGAAGTGTATTTTGTGATGGGACGCTTAATATCTCTAATGCGGAAATTATTAGAGAGAGAAGAGCAGGGTTTAGTTTTGCGGCTCTGTAAACAAGAGAGTTAAAAACCGATGACTTTTGAGCCGAATGCTGAATGACAATGTTTTAGCTTTTCTGTAAACACAATAACCCAACGTTAGGTCTGTGTATAGAGTTTTAAGAAAATTTACTAGGGATTCCTGGCGATGAAGCCATATAACAAAAGTATCATCGACGTAGCGTTTCCATAATTTTGGTTTTAGATGGAAGGTGTCGAGACCTTTCTTCTCAAAGGCTTCCATCAATATATTCGCGATGACTGGTGATAGTGGAGAACCCATACCTGCTCCCGACGTTTATCCAAAAATTTGACCGTTATAAGAAAAATATGTTCCAGGCAAGCATTTTTCAATTACGGTGAGAAGGTTTGGTTATTGGAGATGATTACTAGTTTCGAATTTAATGGTAAAACATGTCAGTGTGTATAGAGTTTAAATGGCTAAACTAACCAAAACGTGAGATTTCCATAATTTTGGTTTTAGATGGAAGGAGGATGGCGGGCTATATACTCATAGTTGTTCCTGATATTTGTTCATAAACTTGACCTTTACAAGAAAAATATATTCTGGCGACCGTGACTAACCAATATGGGACTCCGTCATCCGAGACAATGCGTTTAGCTCTGCCCCTCTCAAACAGTATATAAGCAGGTACAGAGTAGAATGCAAAGCATCCGCAGTTAACCTCCAAAAAAACCAACATTAGAAAAACATCCAATACACATTTTGTGAAGATGTACATTATACGATTAGTAACGATCGATATGACACATATAGATCCACGTCTACACTTTGGCTGTTATCCATACATTGAAAAATATTTTCTAGAAGGATATAATATCAATCCTGAAGATATTTTATTTCAATATTTTTGTACCTAACACGTTTTTCCTAAATTTAAAAGGTAGGACGCATATTAGTATTATGAAACGATTTTCATAACATGTTGCTTTGATCATGTAATCTACCAAAGTAACAGCGCGTTAGTGTATACCCATAACAAGATTGTTATAGCTTTATATCTCTTGGTCGGGTGATACCAATGGAGCGCTTGCGCAAAAAGCTCGTACTTTTAAACCGCCAGACCAGACCAACTGCTCACAACCATTTTAAACTACACACTCAAATAAAGGATGCCTCAAAATGAGTTCAAGTACAGTTTCTCGACAGTTATTATTTAATTACTGATTAACTAATTATTTTATTATTTGGTGTTTTTTACAATATTTTATTTATCTTGCACCACTTTTGTTTTATATTCATTAAGTTAAAAAAAACTTGTACGACTGGGAGATTGTTTTTCCTTTCTCGGTCTACCACCATACAATTTCAACCTATCAGCATATTCTATTTGATATTCTGTTTTTTTACTTGCCCCGGATACAAGAATGATGACCATTTGTACGTACCTACATAGTAATTTAAATTTTTATAATAATAGTGTTTAATTTTATAACCATCGATGAGTAAGCACTACACAAATGTTCAGTGAATCAGAGAAAAGTAACGCACACCGGCAATTTTTAGCATATGCTTTTGGTTAGATTAGTTGACGGGGACGTCAGTCATACGAATGTATACCGAATATAACGGAAGAATGTACCGAAGGTGTTATGACTTCATTTATTTAACGAAGATGTTACATGATAGGGGTAACTGTAACTATTAACTAATGGAAATCAGATTCTACTATAGCTACACTTTACGCGAAGACTAGTAGAACCTTACAAACAAACGATTTCCATGTCGGTCGATTATCCAACCGTTCACAGTAAACTGTGAAGTTGAAGAAAAGTAATTCTCTAAACGAAGTTATAAGAACCTCGAGCTTCTCGAAACCCCTTTTTGACGCTCAGAATTAAGTGGTGGTGTTAACGAGCTATTAGTTGCCGCCTTTGCAAACAACCCGATACAGATTTTCTTTTTAAGGAAGGCAACAAATTTGAAGTTCTTTAATTTACTTTTTCGACTGTTCACTTTTTAACCAGACGCTAATATTGTACTGCTTTCACATGTGCACTTTTCCAATGCATCTGATAGCCGCGCCTACATAATCCGATTTGGATCCGATTTGGCCGGTTAGCAAGGCATGCTACACGGAAAAAGGGGAAAAAAACAACAAGATGCAATCATCGCCAGTTGTCACGCGATGTTTAATCATCTCAAAATGGAATTTATCGCCCATTAAATCCGGAATGACGCTCTATGAGGAATGTAGGTAGTTTTAGTGTTTGCCGAGCGAATGGGGTCTTTTGTTTTTTGCTCACCAGCTTGACGCGCTTCCTTGCACGCATCGTACATTCCCTGACGAACTTCCGAATAATCGTCGGCGATGGTTTCTCCGACGGTGACGAAACGTTCGACCGCCAGATTGACAGCTTGACCCACACGAGCCACGGCTGTCGGGCGCAGGGGCGTAGCGCTCCCATGTTCTACAAGGGCAGAGATCTGCAACGATAATTTCAATATGTATCGTAATCGGCATTTTTAAATTAAAAATAATAAATAGTAAAAAAGATAATCACAATAAAATTAAATGGAGGTTAATTGATATTTGACCAACTTTCCTATAGAGACAAGAAGTAGGCCTTAAAAGGTGGAAAATACAAGTTTTTCCACATCTATCTGGAAAAATAAAAAGCGTTTTTGTTTTTAATTGAGCTTTTATATTACAAGGAATCTTTCAAAAGTTCTGGAAATTGTACTACAATCAAACTACGCAGAACTTATAGGCTATTGATACCAGACAAAGCTTGACATACGTCATTATATAATTGTTATATTTTAATAAATTAATATAAGTCAAACTTTCTGACGCTTCGCCAGTCATCCTGATGGCTTCTTCAGAGCTTAACTGAAACTACAGGACGCAGGAGGAATTCAGAAGGTTTGTAATAATATATTATGCAAGTACGGTAAACGGCATTTGACTCACGAGTTTATTTGACACGAGCGGAATTTACCGAACGTGTTGCATACTATACTTTTTCTACGACTGTTAAATTTTGGGTACATTTTAGAAACACAGCATGAATACATTCACTGACATGACCGTCAGAATTGACAAACGTCGAAATTCAAAGCGCGGGAAATATCTCCGAAAACATCCGATGGCTCCCAAACCCGTGCGGTAAAATCCCGCAAAAGTCCGAAGTGGGAAACGAAACTGACGTGGTAAAGTGGCGCTTCCCGCACGCTAGATCAGTGGGTAATTAGGTATTTTACAGACGGGAGTAGAAAATAGTATATTATGCAACAAGTGCGGTAAATGGCATTTGACTCACGAGTTTATTTGACCCGAGCGGAGCGAGTGTTTAATAATCGAATGAGTTAAAAAGTTTACCGAACGTGTTGCATACTATACTTTTTCTACGACCGTTAGTTTTTGCGTACATTTTTGCAAAACACGAATACATTCACTGACAAAGCGCGGGAAATATCTCCGAAAACATCCGATGGCTCCCAAACCCGTGCGGTAAAATCCCGCAAAAGTCCGAAGTGGGAAACGAAACTGACGTGGTAAAGTGGCGCTTCCCGCACGCTAGATCAGTGGGTAATTAGGTATTTTACAGACGGGAGTAGAAAATAGTATATTATGCAACAAGTGCGGTAAATGGCATTTGACTCACGAGTTTATTTGACCCGAGCGGAGCGAGTGTTTAATAATCGAATGAGTTAAAAAGTTTACCGAACGTGTTGCATACTATACTTTTTCTACGACCGTTAGTTTTTGCGTACATTTTTGCAAAACACGAATACATTCACTGACAAAGCGTGGGAAATATCTCCGAAAACATCCGATTGCTCCCAAATCCATGCGGTAAAATCCAGGAAATGTCCAAAGTGACTTGGATTCATGGGACTGAAACTGACGTGGTAAAGTGACGCTTCCCGTACGCTAGATCGGTGTGTAATTGGAAATTTTAGAGACGGGAGTAGAAAAATAGTATTAAAGTAGCCTTTGGAAGTTTCTATGAAAACTTAAGTCTTGACGTGTTTATGCAACTATTTACTGCAAGATTGTACAGTTTATTTAGATGTACGGCTGATGAAGACGCGCCCACCTTATTCCCCAGATCTTAATCATCATTTGTTCGCAGGTTTGAAAAAAAACCATTCGTGGTTGAGGAGACATCTACAAAATTCTTTCAAGACGGCTTATGAAAATTGTTTATAGTTGGGATAAATGCATTCAGTTAAATTTATTTACGTTAAAAAATTACATTGTAGTATTGACGAAAATTAAGAAAATAATAAAAATTATAGCAAAATTCCCAGAACTTTGGACACATCCCTCATATAAGTTTACAAGTATAAGGGTAAATTTATGTAGGAAAATAAATAGCTTCGTAATGTTGTTGAGTGATTTGCTACGAACTTATATGAAGTCTGTTTTTCAATGGTGCCGAATAATATAGCGGAGGATTCTAGTCAGTATGATAAAATTTAAGGGTCGCCCGTGAACCACAAAGTCAAGCAATGAAATTGTTGATGAACAGAATACTTGAAAGTAAGGGGTGTATATGTAAAAGTAGTCTAGCGACGTCAAATCGCGCGATCTTGCAAGCAGATTCATGGGTTCGAAATGTGAAACTTTGCGGTTACCACCAAACGTTTTCTTCAATAGCCCACAAAACACACCAAAGTTAGTTTTTCTGGATGTGAAGGTGGTTCAACATACACTTGGAAAATATCATCACTGCAGATACGGCAGTTTATTATGTATCCGTTCAACCAAAAGTGAGCAACGGTAATCTTGTTTTCGGCACATTCATCGAATCAACGTCTTGTTAGGGATCGGGTAACTTCAATTCTTAGACGAGTTGGATTTTGCCAGCACGCAAAATTTTCCATAAAGGGGATGGACACATATCCACTTCCTCTGCACGATGGCGCCAAGCACTATAGCAGCACTGACATTTTCTGTACGCACTGTACGACGTCTCTGTGGATGCGTATTATCATTTAGAGTAAATGTGGTGTGAAAACATTCCATAGTTGATCCAATTAATTGCTCTGATGGATGATTATGTTGATCGTAAAATCAAACTAAATTTCCACAATTTGAAAGCGTTGTTCAGGCGTCAGTCCATTTCATGTTGAAATGCCAAATCAAACTGAACATAAATCACTTGACAGCTGACAAAATGGCGGCCAGTTAAGAAAGTGTTGTCAATTTAGAGTTCCATACACCTAAAAAAACACCCTTTACAAAGCAGTGCGTGATGTTGGTTCAGAATCAACCATGACTTATGTATTTTCGACTTCTTGGTGTGGCCTATAATTAAGCCTGCAGGTGGGTAGATGTAGGTACTAAAATAAAAAAATATGCCTGCAAAATGTATGATTTTAAGATGTCAGCTTCGTAGTGAGCCACGTAAATTTCCGATACTTAAGTTGCGGGTTTGAGAGCAATCGGTAGATTTTAGCTACTGATGGTATTTTGACGTTTTGATGGCCGTGTCATACGTAACTCACTGAAAATGATACTAGTGCTGTTTTACAGAATTGTAACCAAAAATTAATGGTAGTAGAAAAAGTATAGTATGCAACACGTTCATAAACTTCATGGAGATGTGGCAACATGCAAGACATAAAGTCACTTCTTATTGCAACGTTGTTAAGACAACCCGGCATTTAAGTCCCCCTGAAGGTAGTGTGCGATAAGGCTAATAGATTATCTAAAGATTGTGATGTGGTGTGAACTGAAAACGCTATAATAATTTTTATTAATAAGGGTAAAGAATAAAATCCGTTACATTTTAAAGAAAGCTCAAGGAAGGCAAGGTCCTGATTTGCACCAGACGATTGTTTTGACGGTTCCGATACAAATTCGATCACCAGTTGTCTAGACTGTCATTAAACGAGAATTAATAACAATCATCGGACTTCCGATACCATGCCGAAATAACTAATGATATTACAGTTCGATGAAATAGGCAATGAAACTGATTGATCCCGCTTTTAATCAAATTTGTTACAGAATTTGTTTACGTTGCTTTGAATGGAATTGATAGCGTTGGATGCACCGTCAAAATTTATCCGATTTTTATTTAAATGAAAATATTTGTGCAACTTTTTGGCATCAAATATAGTTCGCATTGTTTCTAAAATTAAATTTGTCTACTACCTACGCTAAAATAACTGGTCAAGCTTGCGGAAAATGGCACTTTTATACGTCAGTTCGATTTTTTCGGAAGATTGTGAACGGCTACGTCACGGCTCAGTAAATCTATTTATAAAAATGTGCCAACAAACTAATGGTCGTGTAAAAAGTATAATAAGCGAACAAGCAGATAAACTTCTTCGGCTCGTGAAAAATTAAACTCGTGACTAAAGTGGCTTTATTTAAACTTGTTGCATAATATAGTATTTACATCTCATATGCGCGCTTTTCTGGGCTTATTTGTGGCTAAACTACATAAATTAACAATTGAATTACAATGAGGATTATTGTACACCATTTGGAAATGGATAAATAAAATAATCTAAAAGTGAATAATGATCTTAGATGAATCAATCTGCATATGTATATGTAAGTAAAGTGGGGTAGTGCGTCCTCCTGAGGACTCAGCTTTACATCAAGCTTAGTAACTCCATGTAATCGATGACAGCTCCAAGAGCATCACGTCTAAACGGGTCGTTAGGACACACAGAATATGTCCCACAGCCCCATCTTCATGTTCCTACTCAGGAATTGTTTGGCTGCTATTTCGTTTGGATAACCAATACTTTTCTTTTTTATTTCATTGTTCGTTAAAACGATAGCAGGGTTGGGCCCGATAAAGTTTACTCCGGCAGCCCTCCTGGGCCAGGGTGTTACCGACATTATTTTCAACTATCCAACTAAGACCTTATTGTCCACTGATGTATCAACGAGGATACTGCAACATTCTAGTGCTAGTTCTGACTTGAAATATGAAGTACCAGAACTGCCTGTCTGGTATCTCATTCAGTTTTACCGGTAGCAGCAATGCCAGCGAGCGTCGCCTGGAACAAACTGAATATCTTATATCCGTTATAATGTTAAGGGATTTAGGGTACTTTCGGCATCCTGATCCTCTTTTACTCTTTTGAACCATGGGAGTAGACGTCTATCTTGTTGAGGTGCATATTCCCTCTGGCGTTGGTCGTGTAAAGCTTGTGGATTATAAATTTTCGCCTCCAATAGTGCAACTGCGCTAGACCACCTCTCCCATATGTATATCGAGAGATGTGAGAATTACCTTCAGAAAGAACCTTGGTTAGTGTGGGTTTCATGGGCCTTGTAATAGTCAGGCACACTATCCATATGGCAACCCTGTTGATACTCGCCACAAATAGAGGCAACATTAAATAAAATAGCATAACCACGCAGTAGCCGTTTATTGATATTTTATTAAAAAAGCGACCGCATCGAACGCCATATTACTATTTGAAAAGGTGTTGCAAATGATTCACGCATTCAA